GGGGGATAGGGAGTAACTACAAATAGATATGGGTTTATTGTGGAGTGATGAAAATGTTTTTGAATTAGGTAGTGGTGATGGTTGCACAACTCTTTGATGCTTGTCCTATTCTCCTGAGCAGCTCTCCTCCAGGTGATGACTATGAACCTGGGCTGTTTCATTAGGGGCTACATAATCTCAGAAACCTTTATTTGCAGTTGTGTGGATCAGAAAATGTGAAAGGTCACATGGAACATTTTAGGGGTGAGTCATCAAAATTTATATATCACTTTCACTCATGTGCCATGGGCTGTAATCTAGTCTCATGACGTGCAAGGCAAGCTGGCAAATGTAGTCTTCCAGGTAAATGTAGCTTCCCCAGAAGAGAAAGCTATAATGATGATCACCCTACCTGTCTCTACCAGAGACTGAAGAGCGATACCATAAATAGAAATTCTTTTATTTGTATATTCCACATCAAAATCACAAATTTAGTTGCCACCAAATTATGGCATTATTTTCATTTCTGTACCTGAACCAGTAATGTTTAAAAATATTACTTGTTCTTAAGAAATTCTGTACTTGTTAGTGCTGATTTAAAGCAAATTTCTCATTTAAAGTAAAAACAAAACAGCAAGAAAATATTTTTAAAAAACTAGTGATAAATGGGAGGCTGGGGCAGGAGAATTCCTTGAACGCAGTGAGAGGTGACAATGTGCTAGCAGCCCTCGCTCTCAGCGCCTCCTTGGCCTCTGCGTCCACTCTGGCTGGGCTTGAGGAGTCCTTCAGCCCACCACTGCACTGTGGGAGCCCCTCTCTGGGCTGGCGGAAGCCGGAGCCGGCTCCCTCTGCTTGCAGGGAGGTGTGGAGGGAGAGGCGGGGGCAGGAACCGGGGCTGCAGTGGGGTGCTCACAAGCCAGCGCGAGTTCCAGCGGGTGCGGGCTCGGGGCCCGCACTGGGAGCGGCTGGCAGTGAGGGGCTTAGCACCCAGGCCAGCAGCTGCTGAGGTTGCACAGGGTACCCCAGCACTGCAGGCGCTGCACTCGAATTCTCGCTGGGCCTCAGCCACCTCCCCATGGGGCAGGGCTCAGGACCTGCAGCCTGCCATGTCCCAGCCCCCTCTCTGCCGTGGGCTCCGCAGGGCAGGCGCCTCCCCGATTGGTGCCACCCCCTGCTCCGTGCCACCTGGTCCCATCCGCAGCCCAAGGGTTGAGGAGTGCAGGCCCGGCTGGGGACTGGTGGGCAGCTCTGCCTGCAGCCCCCATATGGGATCCACTGGATGAAGCCTGCTGGCCTCCTGAGTCTAGTGGGGACTTGGAGATCTTTTTTGTCTAGCTAAGGGATTGTAATACACCAATCAGCACCCTGTGTCTATTTCAAGGTTTGTAAATACACCAGCTGCAGTGCAGTGGCCCAATCTCAGCTAACTGCAGCCTATGTCTCCTGGGCTCAAGTGATTATCCTACCTCAGCCTCTGGAGTAGCTGGGACTACAGGCACATCTACCACGCCCAACTAATTTTTGTATTTTTTTGGTAGAGACAGTGTTTAACCACGTTGGCCAGGCTGGTCTCGAACTCCTGACCTCAAGTGATGTGCCCGCCTTGGCCTCCCAAAGTGCTGGAATTACAAGCTTGAGCCACCACACGCCGCCTCATCTGTTATTAAACATTATACTATAGGTCCTAGCCAATAGCTTAGGACAAGATTTTTTTTTTAAAAAAAGATGTAATATTCTAACAAGAAGAGACAAATGTTATTGTGTAGATAATTAACTATAAAATAACAAGGGAGTCAGTTCAGAAGCTCTTCTAGCTAAAAGGATGAAAAAAATTCATGCATAGCAATAAACAAGTATATTGTTGGTGTCATATAATACTAAATTGGCCTTTTTGACATATGTTCCCCTTTCTGTTGGTGTATTCCAGTACCATTGAAGCTAAAACCCTAACATATTTCTCAGACTTTGTTGCAGTAAAGGTAAAGGATGTGATTTAGATATTTCACCGGGGATGTGACTTCAGAACTAAATTAACCGGGGAAAGAAGTAGAAACACAGGGCCGGGCGCGGTGGCTCATGCCTGTAATCCCAGCTCTTTGAGAGTCCCAGGTGGGTGGATCATGAAGTCAGGAGATCGAGACCATCCTGGCTAACACGGTGAAACCCCGTCTCTACTAAAAATACAAAAAATTAGCTGGGCGTGGTGGCAGGCGCCTGTAGTCCCAGCTATTTGGGCGCTGAGGCTGGAGAATGGCGTGAATCCGGGAGGCGGAGCTTGCAGTGAGCCGAGATGCCCCACTGCACTCCAGTCTGGGGGACAGAGCCCAGACTCTGTCTCAAAAATAATAATAATAGTAATAATAATTAGAAACACACAAAGCATGCATTTAGGTGGTACTGATGTAGAATTTGCATCATGGTTTTGGAGCCATTATTTTTTTTATTTTATAATTTCAACTTTTATTGTAAATTCAGGGAATGCACATGCAGGCTTGTTATACTGGTACATTGCATGATACTGAGGTTTGGGATATGATTGAACCCATCATCCAGGTATGGAGCATAGTATCCAATGCAGCCATTATTTTGGCAACAATTTCTCATCCTTAGATTATTACTGAGAAGATAGGGTTCTAGAGACAAAAGTTGTTACACTGGCTTTCTGATTCTCAGAATAGTCTGATAGTAAAGCCAACAATGGAGTGGTAGTTCCAGATTCCCTAGTTTCCGGTTGTGGTAGAGAAAGCCTTGGCCGACCAGTTTTGCATGTTATTCTGGGAGTCATGCCTGGTATCCCAGCCTATAGCCTGCTCCTTCTTTTTAGTGGGTTGATAAAGCATTTAATTCCCCATATTAAGCTCCTTTCTGCTTAAAATAGCTAGTGGGCCTTCTGTTTATGCAACTGAATCCCAAATGATAGGATTGTTAGGTGAAAAATGCACGCCATTGAACACTGTGTGAACTCTTAATGGCAAAAGCAGCCCGTGTATTTACCGTTCTCCCCTGCCCAATTCAGTTGAAATAACAAAAAAATGAGAAGGAGGAAGAAGTGGAAGAGGGGAGGAGGAAGAGAAGTTATTGATAGTTGCACCATTAATTAGAGCATGGTGTCATCATTGGAATAAGAATATTTTGAAATTTCTGAAAGATGTTAAGCCAGTAAGATCAAATTGAGGGAAGTTAGATACTCGGTACAAACAAAGTAGGGCTCCCAGAAGAACAGTGGAGTAACTCTAGGTTCCAAATATCTGGGCCAGTGGAGGAAAAATTGAAGGACTTCAATTTGAAAACTATGAGAGGTCCCCAGCCTTGGGTTACTATCCTTGGCATTTTCTTCTAGGTTTGATTTTGCTTGGATTACTGGTTATGTAAAGTAAGAGGTTTTACTTGAAATGTTTCTAGCATGTGAAATAAGGTCAGAATGTTTTAAAATATACCCAGGGTTTTGTTTTTATTCAAGTATGTCAGGAGATGGTTGCTATTGAAAGGATAGTTGGTTACTCACAGTTTCCAAGAGGAGGGGTGTGTGCCACATCATGCCACACTGGGGCCATGCAGTGAAGCACCTGAATTGATCAGAAGTCAGAAGGAGCAAGGGGAAAAGCATGGGCATAAGGCTTTTGTTGTGGTTTCTATGGGAAAAGCAAGGCAAGGCAGGGTAAGTAGAGTTAGGATTGGCTAGTTTCAATAATTTTGGTGGGCTCTGGGCTGTAGAGGCTATCTCTAGTTATTTGGTACCTGGCCCTGGGATGATTAGGGCAGGGAATCGTGGCTCAGTCTGATAAATGAAGTGACTGAGGGTATGGGCCCTAGATTGATTGGTTTGCGTTTGAAGAGTGTTTGCTATTTCGTGGAGTTCACTAGACCTGGGAGGGGCAGACTCTACAGAATCAGCAATGTGCCAGATGCCAGAGCATCAAGAATACATAAAATGGGAAAATATGCTTAGTATACAGAGAAAGGGAGTAAATACTCCCAGCAAACTTAGAGGTATAGAATCATTGAATGTTAATAAACTTGCAGGCATGTCAGAAACCATTTAGATTTGCTTCATGAATCCAGGCATTCAACAGCAAAACTGTCAAATTGTAGATGTTGAGAAAGTTGGGTTTTTTAAACAGTTGCAAGGTTCTCTATGGATAGATAAATAGGTAGCAATGTTTATTGAATGCTCACAGTGTGTCAGGCACCCTGCTAAGAAATTTACATGTATTATTTCATTTTTTTCCCAATAATCCCTTGTGAGTAGTTATTAGTATTATTCCCATGTACAGTTAGGGAAACTGAAGTGTAGAGAGATTAAATAACTGCCCAACTTTATGCTATTAACAAGTACTGGAACTGGCATTTAAACTCAGTTTAGTCTGACCTTGGAATCCAAGCTCATAATCACTCTCCTCTACTACCTCTCTATCTATAATAAATCTATGTTTATAATAAGTAATTGCAAATATCCACAAAAGCTTCAAAGTGAAGATCATTTTAGCATGATAGTTACTAACATTTACATGGGGATAATAATAGTACTGGCTTTGTAACATTTTTACAAGGATTAAGTTCATTAATGTTAAGTATTTAAAATAGTGCCTGGCAACATAGCAAGCACTTGGTAAATGTTGGATATCATTATTCTCCTTAATAAAGTATTCAACTTGTACATGAGAATTTGTTGGCACAACATCCAGATAAACTCTCTATAGCAGGGAACAACTCCCCTGCACCCCTGCACCCCTGCACCCCCCCATTCCTCCAAGACAGTTAATGATTTAAACCTAGTCTTAAATACAAACAAATTTAAAAGTCAATAGCAAACTTCTTATACTTTCCAATATCCATGATAACACAGATTTGCATATAAAAAGAGAAATTGGCTTTATAAGATCATTCATTAATATCCCATCATTTAAAGTGTTTGATATGTATAGACATTATATTCATTGCCCTAAATTGTTATTACATATGAGAATGACCTTAAGAATATGACAGTATTCTTATGTAATTTAATTTCATGTTTTAATTAGAGAGAAGCGGTTACAGGAATGGAAAGCTCTTAAGAAAAAACAAAAATTTGGAGAATTAAGAGAAATTTCTGGAAATCAGTATGTGAATGAAGTCACAAATGCAGAAAAAGATGTGTGGGTTATAATTCATCTATACAGATCAAGGTAAGATCATAGTATTTCAAAATGTTAATATACTACTATTTTAAAAGACATATTTTTGGTTTTAAGGTTTTACAAAGCGTATGACAGTACTCAAGAAAAAGCAACTATATATTACACACATATACATCCATAGAGTTTTTGATAGTCACTGGCTTCAGGGATTAAATTAGGTATTTTAAGATCCTTTCATTTCTAATTTCAGGAACTTGTCACACTTTTTAGAAAAATAAGCACTCTTTGGTAGTTTTGTTAAAAATTTTTTATTCTAGAAAATCTCAAAAATACAGAGAAGTAGAAAGAATGAGAAAACGAACACTCTAAATATCGACCATATAGATTCAACAAGTAACCTTTTGCCATATTTATATAATTGTATCTGTGTGTGTGTATATTTGCATTTGTAGAAAGTGAACTGAAAGTAAACTGACCATAGCATGATGCTTTATTCCTGTGTACTTCAGCATGCATCTTCAAAACATAAAGGTGTTGGAAAGAAAAAAAAGTTCTATTTCCTCTACCCATTTTAGGTTTATTGGCTGGGATCCTACAAATTGGACTGACAAAAGACAGGTTAACAAGAGAAAAACAAACAGAAGCCTATTAATAAGTGCATTACACATACACATAGGAGAGCTCAGTGACAAGTAACTCAAAGTGGTGGTTAGAGCTTGGGCTTATATAGTATCTTAACAAAAGAACAGCAAATTTATAGAGATATGATAAGACAACAGAAAGGGTCTTTGAGCTTCTAGGAATAACAAACTGTGGGATGGTAAATACATGGGTGAAACTATGTATTCAACTTGTTGAATCTATATGGTCAATATTTAGAGTGTTTGATTTAATAGAAATTAAAGGTTGTTTTAGCAAGGTTTGTTATACAGATTCCTCTGGTGCCTCACTGGGATGATAAGAATCTAGAGCTTTATCCAGTGATTAAGAGTGTCCTCCCCTTCCTGGTAGAGACAAGAGTGAGGATGTTACTGGGTGGAGAATATTTTTCTTTGTTTGTTTCTTTTCAGTTGTCTTTAGCTCAAAATAATTCTTATGCCAGAGTGGCTTATTTTGGTGTGGCATATTATGAATCCCTGCAAGAACATTCTTCTACATAACCACAATACCATTTTTTCACTTAACAAAATTAACAGTAATTCCTCATACCATCTAATACCTCGTCCTTACTCAGATTTTCCCAAGTGACTTAAAAATGTCTTTTATAAATACATATGTTTTGGACAAGGAGTCAATCAAGAATTATGCAGCACATTTAGATATATCAGCTCTCTTAAGTCTCTTCTAGTAGAACAATTCCCCTGCACCCCTATACTCCCCCATTCCTCCAAGACAGTTAATTTAAAAATATACCTGGTGGTACTAGGTATAATCCACTGTTGCTAGGCCTCACCAGCCTTGCCTAGTAAACAGGGAAAGTAGACTTTTCCCCAACTCTGTTTCTTTCATTCAAACAGTCCTTCTAGCTTTAGGTCCCTACCCCTCTGCCTCAGAGCTATAAACCATTCTAGGAACAGAGGCCATGACAGCAACCTTCACTGTCCTTATTTCAATCTCTGAATAATAATTTTTTTTTTCTCTTTAGGTCCTTGGGGAAATTATGTACAGAGCAATTTATGCAAATTATAGCCCTGTATATAACCGTGTATAGCCTGTATGGGGCTATACTTTGCAGTTCCTGAGTTGAACTTTGATAGGACAACATGCCCCATAAAAGAAAATGCCCCATAAAAGTTATTTTTTTTATAACTAAAACTCTTGGTAGATTAATTTTTAGGTAGCTTTAAAGTTTTTAAAAGAATGTGTTGACCTAAAAGGAAGAGGCTGAGGCACAAAATATAATTTAAAGAGTTTACTTGAGCCAAAGTGAGGATAGCTGCCCAGAAGACTAAACCCAAGTAACCTTGGATACGATCTCCCTTTAGCCTTTGTTATGAGCAGGTTTGTGAAGACATAAAAGGGGGACAGGGAGTGGACTAATACAAAGCTGTTTGTCAGGAATTCTCTTTGGCTTAAGGAAATAACATTGATTAGTGATTGGCTATAGATTGTTAAACTATGAAAATTACAGTGTCTGATGTATTATTGGGTTGATTTATAGCTACTTGCAAGCAATAGCAAGCAGTTTCAAGAGAGGAATGCATAGGTGAAGGAGGGAGTAGGTTGTAATTCTCTCTTTTTATTTTTGATACAGGGTCTCACTGTGTTTCCCAGGCTGGAGTGCAGTGACGATCGTAGCTCAATGCAGCCTTTAATGCTTGGGCTCAAGCAATGATCCTCCTGCCTCAGTCCTCCAAGTAGCTTGGACTACAGGTCTGCACTACCACATCTGGCTAATTTTTAAAATTTTTTCATCGAAACGGGGTCTTGCTATGTTGCCCAAACTGGTCTCGAACTCCTGGCCTCAAGTGATCCCCCTGCCTCAGCCTCCCAAAGTATTGAGATTACAGGCGTGAACCACTGTGCCTGGCTTGCTGTCTCATTTTAATGACTCCATGGGTGTAAATGTTTAAAAGGACTTGCATTCTTCAGAGAAAAGTTATTTCCTGAAATCACACTTCCATATTACCTATACTATTTATTTGGTTAACCAGTTTGTAAATGCTGCTTGTAGGTCTCACAGATAAGGATGAGAAACACTGACATTTATAAAACAGGGATCTGTTTGTGGTAAATATTATATACTGAAGTGGTTTACTGAATGTTTTTCTGACCCTGTGTGGTTAGCAGAGTAGATATTGCTTCTAAGTAAAATTATCTAGTTTAATGGTTATTTCCATATAAATTACTAGTTTTTAGAAATAATTTTAAAAAATTCATAAAGAGGTTGCATATTTTTTAGTCTGCTTCAAATTGTCATATGCTTTGATAGACTCAAAAAGAAGGATGTGGTTTCATAATATTTTAAGTATTTGTGACCTTCTCAGAAGGTTTTTCTGGACCACTCTAAAGTAGTTACATATTAGATTTCTGGACATTAAGAAAATACATTCCTGGGGCTGGGTGCCGTGGCTCACACCTGTAATCCCAGCACTTTGGGAGGCTGAGGCAGGCGGATCACTTGAGGTCAGGAGTCAAAGACCAGCCTGGCCAGCATGGTGAAACCCCATTTCTACTAAAAATACAAAAAAAAAAAAAAAATTTTAGCCGGGCTTGGTGGCGCATGCCTGTTGTCCCAGCAATGTGGGAGACTGAGGCAGGAGAATGGCTTGAACCCAGGAGGCAGAGGTTGCAGTGAACTGAGATCGCGCCATTGCACTCCAACCTGGGTGACAGAGCAAGACTCTGAATCAAAAAAAAAAAAAACAGAAAATATGTTCCTGTGTTGGTATAAAACATATATTTTGAAAATTAATCTGTAATAATCCAAATTTATAAAATATAACAGAAAATAATTGTGTTATAAATATTCCTTAGAAAACTTTAGTTTTTAACAATGGAATTACTGGCCAGGCTTGGGGCTCATGCCTGTAATCCCACCACTTTGGGAGGCTGAGGTGGGCAGATCACCTGAGGTCAGGAGTTTGAGACCAGCCTGGCCAACATGGCAAAACCCTGTCTTTACTAAAGTACAAAATATTAGCCGGGCATGGTGTTGTGTCCCTATAATCCCAGTTACTTGGGAGGCTGAGGCAGGAGAATCGCTTGAACCTGGGAGGCAGAGGTTACAGTGAGCTGAGATCACATCATTGCACTCCAGCCTGGGCAACAGAGCGGGACTCCATCTCAGAAAAAAAGGATTTACGTACAGCTTTTTAATATTATAAAGTTGAAGGACAGCTGTTAATTTATGTTTTTGTAACCACCCAATGGGGTTCATTTTGCCTGCTGCCCACATAGAGCCAATTTATCAAGACAGGGGAATTGCAATAAAGAGTTTAATTCATGCAGAGCTGGTTGAACAGGAAACCAGAGTTTTATTATTACTCAAATCAGCCTCCCCCAAAATTTGGAGGCTGGGGTTTTTCAAGGATAGTTTGCCAGACCACAGAATGGGTACTGCTGATTGGTTGGGAATGCAATCATAGGGATGTAGAAAATGATCCTTGATATGGTTTGGCTGTGTCCTCACTAAATCTCATCTTGAACTGAATTTCCCATAATCCCCATTTGTCGAGGGAGGGACCTGGTGGGAGGTAATTTAATCATGGGGGCAGTTACCCTCATGCTGTTCTTGTGATAATGAGTGAGTTCTCTTGAGATCTGATGGCTTTATAAGGGGCTTTTCCCCTTCTGCTCAGCACTTCTCATTGCTGCCACATGTGAAGAAGAATGTGCTTGCTTCCCCTTCTGCCATGATTGTAAGTTTCCTGTGAGTCAGTTAAACCTCTTTCCTTTATAATTACCCAGCCTTGGGTATGTCTTTATTATAATGCAGCATGAGAATGGACTAATACAGTCCTCATGCGGGCTAAGTCTGCTTCTGTATGGGGCCACAGGACCGCTTGGTGGGTCCAGGTAGAGGCATCAGTCATCAGAAATGCAAAAACCTTAAAAGATGTATCAAAAAGGCCAATCTTAGGTTCTACAATAGGGTTGTTGTCTGCAGGAGTAATTGAGGAAGTTGCAAATCTTGTGACTTCCAGAATAATGGCTGGTAATTGTTTAAGTGTGTATCTTAGCAGAATTCAGGCTCCTCTCATCCTCCTAACCTAGTCTTCGCTTAGCTTTTACAAAGGTGGTTTAGTTTTGGGGAAAAGCTGTTATCATTTAAACTATAAACTGAATTTCTCCCAAAGTTAGCTTGGCCCAAGTCCAGGAATGATTCTGGGCAGTTTGGAGGTTAAAGAGAAGATGGGGGTTGGTTAGATCACATCTCTTTCACTGTCATAATTCTCTCACTGTTAAAGTTTTTGCAAAGGTGGTTTTATTTTTAGCTACTTTCTTTCAGTTTTATAAAAAGGTGGTGTGTGTTTGTTGATTAGACTCCTAAATTCTATAATTTCAATGCCTCCTTGCCATTAAATTGATAGGATTAGACCCACTTTTTAGCCAAATGAAGGCTTAGCCTCCTTAAGGTGCTTTAGAGCGATCTAACTCAACCTGGGCCAGTAAGCCTGATGATTTAGCTTTAAGTCAGTCTTGTTTCTGGTTTTATTTAATCTTATGCCTGTACCCCAATTCTAATTTGGGGCTTTTATATTATTCTTATACCCAAGTGCATATTTTGAAGCTTGAATATCATAAATAGGCTCTTAACTTGCTTTGTGATGTTACTGGTCTGCCTCATATTTTACAGCTCTTCTGGGGTTAAAATTCTGGCCCTCAACCCCAACACCAAATTTGTTCTCCTACTGCTTGCTGTCAGAACTTTCTTCGGGTAACCCTTTCTCCCTGCATCACAATCTGTTATGCAATATTCTCTTAAATCTATACTTTTCACTGCCACCACCAATACCTACCTGCCTTTTGCCATTCACACTACTGATCCATCCCACAAATATCTGTTGTACCACTGACTGAGCTTTCATTCTGATAAAATTTCTAATGAAAATTATAAAATTTCTCTGAATTAGATATTAGTGGACTCATTTCACCTTGAAGAAAATCAAAACATTTTACTCTAAGATATACTTTCTTGACATATTTTGAGGTGGGTGTTCAGAGAGCCAACAAAACTGAAGTAACCCCGTAAAGCTGTCTTTTGTGGAGATTTGCAACTGTAGAGAAAATCTGCATTCATGCAGTCAGGCCTTCTCTGAGGGCCTTCCCTTGTCTAATCTAGGACCAAGTTAACTGAGAATCTGATGCCTTTAAAGGTCTAAAAGAAACATTTACCATCTATTCTCTTTAAGGGCTGCTACCTGTAAGGTTTCATCTACATAACAAGACCACTTTTGCTAGCCAGGCCTCCTCTTCTCTGCCTCCCATAGCCTGTCTTGTCACTGTAACCTGATTTACCCCAATAACACGTTTTTGGTCATGCCAGAGCCTCCATTCTTTCTGTAGCCTCAAGATAGCATATAAGCTTCTGTACCTCATTGGAGAGTTTGGGTAATCACTTTGTGTTTCCTCTCTCATGTGCATGTTAATAAACTTGTGTGCCTTTTCTCCAATTAATCTGCCTTTTGTTAGTTGATCTTTCAGTGAACCTTCCTTCGGAGGGCAAAGAAATTTTCCCTTGGCCCCTAAAACCTTTCATTTTTCAGTAGAGACGGGGTTTCACCATGTTGGCCAGACTGGTTTTGAACTCCTGACGTCAAAGGATCTGTCTACATTGGCCTCCCAAAGTGCCGGGATTATAGGCTTTAGCCACTGCACCCGGCCCAAATTGAATATGTTTATGTAAAATGGAGAAAGAGTCTTTGGAGAAGGAAAGATGAGAAAACAGGAAAAGAGGGAAGCAGAATAACCAACAAAGGTCCCAAGGGAGATGGAAGGAATGTGGAATAAAGTAGAGGTGAAGGGATTCACTTGAAAGTTTGATAAAATGGGAGAAAAGGAACTAATTGGTCAATGAGTGTGATGAGAATTAAGTGATAAAGCAGGAAGAACTGAGGTTGTGGTCACACTTCCAATCAATATTAAATTTCTGGTAAGGAATAGTTCTGGATAATGGGGCCACCAGAATGTGACATGGAGTGGGATTCCAAAGACTGTGGGAGAATTTTGATGGAGTCAGGAAAGACAGTTCTGGATATGGTAAACTCATTACATGGAAAGAAGCTGGTGATGGCAACAAGAGTTGGGATCCTTTTGTTTCAACTCAGAACTGCAAAGGATTTCCTAGAAGTGTCGTGTTTTTGTTTTTGTTTTTTCTACAAACTGGGAACCTGCTTGAACCAAACTGATGCTCGTTGGATGTAGTTTCCTTAAGTTAAGCATCAGCTTGCCTGGTAGCTAGCTTCATTCTCAGGCTATAATGGTGCTTGCAATAAAAACCAGAGGACTCTACATACAGTTCATCATTGCTAAAGGTAACAATAGAGGATGATAATAACATGTTTTTATATTAATCTAAGATTTATTTTTGCCATGGCGATATTTTACTTATTTCATTAGACTGAGATGAGTAGTCCGTTTATTAAAGATTGTGTGTACTGTTTCTCTTTTTAGCATCCCAATGTGTTTGTTGGTTAACCAGCATCTTAGTCTTCTAGCAAGAAAGTTTCCAGAAACTAAATTTGTTAAAGCCATCGTGAATAGCTGTATTCAACACTACCATGACAATTGTTTACCAACAATTTTTGTTTATAAAAATGGTCAGATAGAAGCCAAATTCATTGGAATTTTAGAATGTGGAGGGATAAATCTCAAGCTGGAAGGTAATGTTACAAATTTTGTTTATAAAAATGATAGGTGAAAACATCCAGAAACTAACAAGTATCCTAAAAGTCTTCTTCCTTTGTACCAAGGTTTTTTCCTTGCTTTTAGTCTCTTTTTGTATGCCTCCAGATTAATTTTCCTATAGTAATACTCTAATAACAGCCCCTTGCTTAAAATCCTTCATAGTTCTCTGTCTCAAGTAAGTTAAAAATTTAGAATCTTCTCCTTTAGAATGTCCACCCACCTCTCCAACTATAATGCTCAGTGCTTTCTAGTTTCTGTTCTTGTTAGGCTGGTCTTCAGCCACTACTAGGCTGGTCTTCAGCTACTACTAAATATACGTTAACTCATTTGTGCCATCACACTTTTTTACACATTCTCTGCTTGTACCTAACGTATTCTACCTTTCTCTGTTCTCCATATCCAAACTTTATTCCTACATGAGTCTGCTCTATTTTTATTTACTGCATTATGTAATATTGAACCAATTCATAATCTTTTTCTTCTCTACTGAATTTCTATAGTGTATATTCAATGCATCTTACTTTTCACTTATTAGCATGATATCTAATTTTGTTGATGAATCAATCCGCTTTGAATTTTATCTTCCTAAAAATTGCAGGGACCATGCCTCCTATTACTTTATTTTTCTTAGCACACAGCACAAGACTTTCTATTTTTATCTTCTTTAATTGTTTTTACTTACTAAGGTCATTTCTTTGATACATTCATTTTTTGGCAGTGCTTTAACTCTATTTTACAAAACTAAAAATCATTTTCTCTCAGCACTGTGTTAAAGCCATCATGAATGGCTGTTTTCAGTTTTTGTTCTTTTGTTTGTTTGTTTGTTTGTTTGTTTTTGAGACGGAGCCTTGCTCTGTCACTCAGGCTAGTGTGCAGTGGCATGATCTCGGCTCACTGCAACCTTTGCCTCCTGGGTTCAAGCAGTTCTGCCTGCCTCAGCCTCCTGAGTAGCTGGGATTACAGGTGCCCACCACCATACCCGGCTAATTTTTGTAATTTTTAGTGGAGATGGGTTTTTGCCATGTTGGCCAGGCTGATCTTGAACTCCTGACCTTGGGAGATCTGCCCTCCTCAGCCTCCCAAAGTGATGGGATTACGGATGTAAGCCACTGCGCCTGGCCGGTTGGTTTCAATAGGTATTCTTTCACTCTGTCAGTCCCCCAAAATTGTTTTTGGCCTTACCGAGACCTCTGACACTTTAATTTTTCCAGAAGTTTCCCATTTTTCTTTTAGTCTTCTAAGGCCTTTCCTTGTTTTACCACCTGTTTTTGTAGCTTGGATCTTTTCTTTTTAATTAAAAAAATTAACGACATAAGAGTACATAAAAGAATACATAGAATAATCATATAGTAAGCATTCATGAAATCATTATTGTCTTCTCTGTTTGGAATGCTATAATAAAAATACTATAAACTGGGTGGCTTATAAACAAGAAACTTTATATTAATATCTCACAGTTCTGGAGGCTGGGAAGTCCCAGATCAAGGCGCCAACAGATTTGGTGTTTTATGAGGACCTGTTCTTCATAGATGGTGACCTCTTCATTGACCTCACGTGGTGGAAGGGGCAAACAAGCTCCTTTTGGCCTCTCTGTTCACTCATTCCATTGAAGAGTGCTCTGCCCTCATGGTCTAATCACTGCCAAAGTCCCCACCTCTTAATACCATCACCTTGGGGATTAGGATTTCAACATATGAATTTTGGGGGGACACAAACATTCAGGACCATAGTAATTACCAAAAGTAACAAATGTGAACATTTGTTTATGCTTGCTTCAGCTGTTTATTTGAGATAGCATCTCACTCTGTCACCCAGGCTGGAGTGCAGTGGCACAATTATGGCTCACTTGCAGCCTTGACTTCTCAGGCTCAAGTAATCCTCCCACTTTAGCCTCCTGAGTAGCTGGGACTACAGGTGCCAGCCACCACACCTAACTATTTTTTTAACAAAATTTTGTAGTAGAGATGAGGTCTCACGATATTGCCCAGGCTGGTCTCAAACTCCTAGGCTCAAGTAATCCTCCCACATTTGACTCCCAAAGTGCTGGGATTACAAGCATGAGCCACCATGCCTGGCCTGTTTGCTTATCTTTTAAAAACACATTACAGATAAAGTTGAAATTACCTGTATTTCATACTTAGTCCTGTTCCCCTCCCTGCTTCCTTAGGGGCAAAAACTATCAAGAATTTAGAGTGTATCTCGTCCCTTTATTTATTTAATTTTTTTTTTGAGAGGGAGATATCAATGAAATTTATTGGTGTATTTTAAACATTGTAGTAGAATATGCGTAATATAACATTTACCATCAACTATTTTTAAGCATACAGTTCAGTGGCATTAAGCACATTCACATTCCATCACCATCATCTCCAGAAGTTTTTTTTGTTTTACATAACAAACTCTGTACTCATTAAACAAAAACTCCTTGGTCTCCAATTGCTTCAGCCCGGGCAATCACCTTTTTAAGATTCTGTCTCTATGAATTTGACAGCACTAGATACCTCATATAAATGGAATCATATAGTATTTGTCCTTTGTGATTGACTTATTTCACTTAGCATAATGTCCTCAAGTTTCATCCATGTGGTAGCATGTTATCAGAATTTTTTTCCTTTTTAAGTATATCTTGAGTATACCTTCATCTCTTGATGGATACTTAGGTTGTTTTCACCTTTTGGCTATTGTGAATAATGCTGTTATGAACATGTGTGTACAAATAATATGCTTATCTCCATTTTTAATTATTCTGGGAATATACACAGAAATGGAATTGCTAGATGATATGATAATTCTATTTTTAATTTTAAGAGAAACTATCTGGTCTATATTGTTATGCTTTAACTTAAGTATATCTATAGAAATAGAAGGAATAATTAATTGCAAAATCGAAAGTACTTAATAAAGGGCATTATATTGTAATATCATTCTGCAACTTGCTTTTTTAAAAATCTCAATCATAGTATTCAGAATCTCATTTATTTCATATGTGTCTGATTCAGTAACTTTATCTCCTGTCTAGCATTCTATAATCAGCTATTCCTCAATTTATCATTCCCCTGTTGTGAGAAATGTGAGTTGTTTCCAATTTTCCCATTATGAACAATTCTGCTGTGACAATTGTTGTGTCCACCTGTAAAAATTTCTCAAGGATATATGGAGAATTGTGGGAATATAGGGTATACACATTTTCAACTTCACTTGATAGTTGATAGACTGCTCTATAAATGGAAGTATCAATTTATCCTTCCATCTGTGTTTAAAGATATACCCACATCTTCACCACTTCTTGTTAATTTTAGACTGTTGGTTTTTTGGTCAATCTGATGGATATGAAATGGTATCATTTCATTGTTTAAATTTGGATTTCCCTCATTACAAGTGAGGTTATGGATTTTTTCATATGCATTGCTCATTCTGATTTCCTCTCCTGTTTATATACTTTGTCCATTTTGTCATTTGTGTTTTTTTCATTGATTTATAAGAGTGTGTATGTGTGCATGAGTGTGTGTGTAAAGTTCTGGATACTATTTTTATAGTATTACTAATATATTCTCACCAGTTATGGCTTGTCATTTCATTTTGATTGTCAGATAAAAGTTATGATTTGGCATAGTGAAAATTATTAATCTTTTTCTTTATTGTGCACTTTTTGTGCTTTCTTTTCAAAACCCTTCTGTATTCCCAAGGTGAAAAATATATTCTTCTATACTTTCTTCTAAGAGTTTTAAATTTTTATTTTTGAGCTTAGGTCTTGAATAACATTGGGCTTTTCTTTTGTGTATGATTTGATGTAAGGAATTGTATTAGTCTATTTTCATGCTGCTAATAAAGACATACTTGAGACTGGGTAATTTATAAAGGAAAGAGGTTTAATTGGCTCACAGTTCAGCTGGCTGGGGAGGCTTCAGGAAACTTACAATCATGACAGAATGGGAAGCAAGCATGTTCTTTTTCACATGGCAGCAGGAAAGAGAAGAATGAGAGCCAAGTGAAGTGGGGAAAAAGCCCCTTATAAAACCCATCAGATCTGGTGAGAACTCAGTATCAAGAGAACAGCATGGAGATAACAACCACCATGATTCAATTACCTCCCACCCACAATACGTGGTGATTATGAGAACTACAGTTCAAGATGAGGTTAGGGTGGGGACATAGCCAAACCATATCAGGAATGTATCTACTTTTTTTCTGTAAGAAAATGCAACTGTTTCAACACCATTTATTAAAATTTCACTTCACTCTTTTTCTTTTTCTTTTTCTTTTTTTCTTTTTTTTTTTTTTTTTTTTTGAGATGGAGTCTTGCACTGTTGCCCGGACTGGAGTGCAATGGCACGATCTCGATCTCGGCTCACTACAACCTCTGCCTCCAGGGTTCAAGCGATTCTTCTGCCTCAGCCTCCTGAATAGCTGGGATTACATGTGCCTGCCACCATGCGCAGCTAATGTTTTCTTTTCTTTTTTTTTTTTTTAGTATTTTTAGTAGGGATGGCGTTTCACCATGTTGGCCAGGCTGATCTCAAACTCCTTACCTCAGGTGACCCGCCCACCTCAGCCTTTCAAAGTGCTGGGATTACAGATGTGAGCCACCACACCTGGCCAGCTTGTTTAATTTTATAGGCTCACAGCTGGAGGGAAATGTACCTCAGTATGAATTGTGTCTTGAGTCTTTCCTGTATCTGATTTAGATGAGACTGTGGACTTTTGAGTTGATGTTGGAACAAGTTGAGACTTTGGGGGCTACTGGGATAGAATGAATGTATTTTGCATGTAAGAGGACATGAATTTGGGGGGCTGGGGTGGAATGGTATGATTTGAATGTGTCCCCCAAAATTAGTAATCCCCAATGCAACAGTGTTGAGAAGTGGGATCTTAAGAGGTGATTAGGTCATGAGGTCTCTGCCCTCATGAATGGATTAATGTCATTATTGCAGAGTGGGGTTGTTGTCATGAGGATGGGTTTGTTTTAGAAGTGAGTTCAGCCCTCTCTTGTTGTCTCTCATTCACCTTCTCTAACTCACTTGAATTCTGCCGTGGGATAACCTCAGCAAGAAGACCCTCACCTGATGTAGACCCCTCAACCTTATACTTCCCAGCCTCCAGATGTATAAGAAATAAATCTCGGTTCTCTATAAATTACTCAAGTCTCAGGTATTCTTTTATCACAAAACAGACTAGGAACCAGTTTAACCATAATTTCTCCCTTTAAGTATAACTTTGCTATATCCAATGTGTATTTTGATATTGTAGCACTTTTACTGTCAACCAGTTCTAAGGATACCAGGCTGGGTGTGGTGGCTTACACCTGTAATCCCAGCACTTTGGGAGGCTGAGGTAGGGGGATCACTTGAGGTCAGGAGTTCGAGACCAGCCTGGCCAACATGTTGAAACCCTGACTCTACTTAAAAAATACAAAAATTAGCTGGGTGTGGTGGCATGCACCTGTAATTGCAGCTACTCAGGAAGCTGTGGCATGAGAATCGCTTGAACCTGGGAGGCAGAGGTTGCAGTGAGCCAAGATGCACTCTAGCCTGGGTGACAGAGTGAGACTCTGTCTGAAAAAAGAAAAAAAAACTATAAATAAATATATCATCATTTCCATGGTAATATTACTAAGAGTCAACTCCTATTTCATATAGATGAAAAATTATTCATTTTTTCAAGATTTTTAACTGACTTAATGATGGGTTATTTATTACAGAACTTGAATGGAAGCTAGCAGAAGTTGGAGCAATACAGACTGATTTGGAAGAAAACCCCCAAAAAGACATTGTAGATATGATGGTATCTTCAATTAGAAACACTTCTATTCATGATGACAGTGATAGCTCCAACAGTGATAATGATACCAAATAGAGAGAAATATTCAGTAAATAGCTTTTAGTATATGTGTACTGAATGTTTTACTTATGACTGCTTTTATAATTAGGGATCAGAAAATTCATGAACAGATTTATTTTATTTTCATTTTTATATTAGAATTATGGCATATATGTCATTTTAAAAATTTTCAGGCATTTCAGAATATTCATTGCCTCTGAGAAAAATAGAATTTGGCAGCCAGGCATGGTGGCTCACGCCTGTAATCCCAGCACTTTGGGAGGCCAAAGGGGGCAGATCACCTGAGGTCGGGAGTTCGAGACCAGTCTGACCAACATGGAGAAACCCCGTCTCTACTAAAAATACAAAAATTAGCTGGGCATCGTGGCACATGCCTGTAATCTCAGCTACTCGGGAGACTGAGGCAGGCGAATCGCTTGAACCCGGGAGGCAGAGGTTGCGATGAGCCAAGACCGCGCCATTGCACTCTATGTTGGGCAACAAGAGTGAAACTCCATCTCAAACAAAACAAAACAAAAAACAAAACAAAACAGAATTTGTATTAAGCCCTTAGTATTTTTCTGTGGTTTATCCTTTTTCTAACTCATGTTGGACAAAAACACAAATATTACAAGACCTTTCTTGCTTACTCACTTCCAAAGAGAACTACGAATGAAAGCAATGAAAGAAAACCATGAAATTTTATTTAAGTCAACACATTTTAAAATCTAGAGACTTAAGCAAAAAGTTTTAAATTTATGACCATAAAGCTTTTTCTTAGAAATCTCTTACCTATTAAAACATTAACCACTTAATAGCATAATGCAATTAATAGATTTTGAAAAGTACATAAAAAAATCTGTATTCATTATTATTGTTCTGAGTAGTTACTATCAAGTTAGACAATTACTGAGTATTCTCATTAATAGTTAAACTATAGAATCATTAGAACACTACACCATGTAAGTTTCTAAATCCTGAGCAGAGGTGAGAAAAATATATTGTAGGATGACCTATGTTTTAACAGTAATCACAGAAGAATTCATCATGAGAAAATATACATTAGTACACTGCAGAAGGCCTATAGGATGTTTCATCTTGGCATAATAATGAACATCACTTTTAGAGGAAAGGTTGGTAAATCCAGCATATAATAGTTCAGTAACAGATTTTTTTCTACTTTGTTTGTATTTGTGATCCATAATTCTCATTATGGATGTTCACTGATATTTGTGAGAGAATCTAGACTAGGTTTAAATGCCTAGATCACAAAAATGAATTGGTGAGAATTGAGGCAGTTGAAGATTGAGTCAAGAAAAGGCTCTTGCTATTTAGGGATCTTAGAGGCTACAGAGAACCATGAAGTGGAAGGAAAGTTAAATACACATTTGGGTAAGGTAATAAGAGTTTATTTCACCAGGTAAAAATCAATTGATCTAATTCTGGGAAGGATTAGGAAAATTCTTCTGAGATAGTAAATATACATCTTGAGACTAGATGGAGGAAAGTTCAGAGAGGTCACACACAGTGGTCTTTATTATAGCATTACATACACATGTCAGAGAGGTAATTACCTAGTTTTATTTATCCAATTCCTGAACCTTCCAGAAATGAATGGGTAAGTTACTATTCAGGATAAAAACAGCTGTGGAAATGAAAGGAAGAGCCATCTTCTACAGTTACAGTGTAACTCTAATGCCATCTAATGCATATAACCATATTTATCAAAATAACTTTCATATATATTATTTTCCCCTCCAATTGAAACCAAATGCAGAAAGTCCCCCTAAATGAAGTCTTTTAAAAAGTAAATACATATTTATCTGTTTTCTTTTTAAAGTTAAAATAACGAAATAATAATAGTATTTAGGAGAGCTTAAAAAAGATATCTATTTCCCTTTGTCTTAACTCAGATCCACCAGGTGGCAGTAAGTTTTTACCCACAAACAGTTCTGAAGACTAACATTTGTAAAAATAATAAAAGTATATCATGTTAGAACTGGCTGCTTGTGATTCCGGCCCCGCTCTTTAGCAAAGTGCACGCACACATTCTTTTAGCAAGGACTGATTGATGCCTGCCAACACAGGTCACTACTACTTCCATACACTGCTTCATGTATACATTCTCATTTGACTAGGGTAAAAATATTTGTTAGGATATGCAGAAATTATTTAATATGTAATATTGTTCCCCATTTTACTGAATGAATATTCAATGGGGTACAAAGTTTTTTTAATTGCCAATATTCAGTCACTTTTTGATCTATAAAAATTGATATTTTATCCTAATATTTTTGTCTATTCTTGCCAACTGTGCTGTATTGAATCTCCCTTCTCTATAGTGCCCTTTTTGTCAAAATGTGGTAAATGTGGTCCTAGAATCAGCAGGATTCCTAAGGAGCCTGTTAGAAATGCAGAATCTCTGGCCCCATCGCAGACTAACTGAATCATAATTTTCATTTTAATGAGATCTCCAGGTGATATGCACATTAAAATTCAAGAAGCACTAGGCAACAAATCCTTTAAAGGCAACCTGAGCATCTTCTTTTACCCATTCCACAGTGTGGGTTATTAAGTCTGTCTAGTTGAACACTCCAGTGTCAGTTCCAAGCAAACATTCTCTGGCTGAACTTGTGACTTAAGGAACTCTGAAGATGAAAGGTGGGGTTTTTAACCAGTTTTTCCCTCTCCTTTTGAGGCAGGAGAATAAGGTCTAGAGGCAGGGAACCTAAGGCTGTTTCACGCCACCTTCCTAGAGCTAGATTTAAAGGAAAACTCTAACTTTCCATGCCTAAGTAACAAAAGGACCAGAGGCTACTTTGCAAACCCGGACCTTTTGTGCCTGGCAGATGGGAAATTGGCTGTCCGCAATCAATCAGACTGATTGCCTGCTGAGGGTTCTTTTGCAACTTTGTAACTTCACCTCAGCCTCTGATTGGTGCAAGCCACCACTTCATGAAATGAAGTGGCCAATAGGAAGCCTCTAGGGGGTATTTGGACCAGAGAAGATTCTGAGCCACTGCTCATGCCTACTCCCACACTGTGAAGTGTACTTTCATTTTCAATAAATCCCTGCTTTCGTTCTTTAGTTGCTTTATTCTGTCTTTACTTTGCTGGGCGTTTTGTCCAATTCTTTGTTCAAAACACCAAGAACTTGGACACCTTGCAGTCAAGACCCTCTACCAGTAACACTTTCAGGGCCTATCCCTCTTCTGTTGGGGACTGGGAGAGAGAACAGGGATGAAAGGGATAAATTTCCCTTAACTGTACAATGAATACTGCATCCAAATTGTTCACTCTTTAATGGGGCACATTGAGTTCTCCTAGAAACTCTGAAACAGCTTCCCAACTGCACAGTCCCTTGATTGACATGAGAGATGGACCAGTCTTAGCTCTATCTCTGCTAACTCTCTTAGTTTCCTCTCCTAGAAGTAAATCCAGCCTCTTGCTACTAGAATTTCCTTCCCCCTTGGGTGTCAAGATGGTTCAAATCTGGACAGCATTTTCCACACAGCATCAATTGACACATGAGAAACTTACACAACCATGGTATCCTTGCTACACCACATGGTAGATGTTGTAGATTGCTTTATTTCAGCCTACTCCCTGGCCAGCTATTTCTCCAACTCTTTTCCTGTTTCATGTAGGTACAAGGCAATATCAGCAAGTTTGATAGTGAATCAGATGCCACTCTCCCTCCCTCACAGTCACCTGATTCTGCTGGAGTCTTGTTCACTTGGGGTAGGGTAAGGCATAAAAAGGAAAGGAAAAACCATAGTACACACCAAGAGCCTGGCTTCAGTGATCCTCTCAGGTGTTTTTCCCTCTTGCCAAGTGTTGGGCTTATATGGTCTGAGAGTAGAGAGTTAGAGGTTTTGGCTATGGTAGATCCCTTTTTGTCCAACTTTTATCCTTGGGTGAAGGAGTGGGTATCTGACCCGAAATGTTGGCAGTTCTTTAGAAGGTGAGGTACTTCATGCACTTGTTCTTTATTTTAGATTTCAGTCAGCATCTTCTTATACAGGTATTAGCTGTACTTATTAGTGTTACATATTCTTGTTGGTTCTCAAGTATTCAATCACTAGAATAGTATTAGTCACATCATATTTCACCGACTGATTTTAGTTTGTTTCTCCTTTGTACTTTTGAGAGGTGAAGCCAGCTGGGCTTCTGGGTTTGGTGGGGACTTGGAGAACTCTTGTGTCTAGCTAAAGGATTGTAAATGCACCAATCAGCGCTCTCTGTCTAGCTAAAGGATTGTAAACGCACCAGTCAGCACTCTGTAAAAACGCACCAATCAGCACTATCAAGTTAAAAGATTGTAAATGCACCAATCAGTAGTCTGTAAAATAGACCAATCAGTGCTCTGTAAAATGGACCAATCAGCAGGATGTGGGCAGGGCCAAACAAGAGAATAAAAGCTGGTCACCTAAGCCAGCAGCAGCAGCCTGCTTGGGCCCCCTTCCATGCTGTGGAAGCTTTGTTCTTTCACTCTTAACAATAAATCTTGGTGCTGCTCACTCTTTGGGTCCGCATTACCTTTATGAGCTGTAACACTCACTGCGAGGGTCTGCAGCTTCATTCCTGAAGTCAGCAAGACCACAAACCCACCAGGAGGAACAAACAATTCCGGACGCGCCACCTTTAAGAGCTGTAACACTCACTGGGAAGGTCTGCGGCTTCACTCCTGAAGTCAGTGAGACCACAAACCCACCGGAAGGAAGAAACTCTGGACACATGTGAACATCGGAAAGAACAAACTCCAGACACACCGTCTTTAAGAGCTATAACACTCACCACGAGGGTCCGCGGCTTCATTCTTGAAGTCAGTGAGACCAAGAACCCACCAGAAGGAATAAATTCCGGACACACTTTCATGCACATTACTAAGGCTACCCCTTGACAATAATCTGCCTACAGTCATAATTTAGGATAAAGATGATCCTAAAAATCTTCTTTCTGGCATTTCATTCACTCATTAAATCATTTATTCACCTCAGGCCTTGGTGGTTTTGTTTTGTTTTTTTGAGACTGACTTGCTCTGTCACCCAGGCTGGAGTGCAGCAGCACGAATTGGGC